GCGGCCACCCTCTTGATCCAGGGCACCACTACCGCCTCAAGGCATTTGATGCAGGCCTCCATGTTGAGTCTGAGACCCTCACCAGCAGATTAGGGAGTTCTTCAGAGCTGCCGTACATTCGTAATCACCATTAGACTCATCCAACTCTTTCCGAATCCTCAGTAATGTTCTTAGATTGACACCGAAACACTCTGAAATATTCGTATTGGAGCTTCCGGTGCGAATGCCAAGCAGTACAGCATGCCGTTTCCAAATTTCTGGCGGAGTGAATTGCGTGATAGTGCTCTTTTTCTTACAGACGGCGCCCAACTAACCCTACTATAATTTGCACTCGACAAAATAAAATAAAAAAACAAAAACGCATATGCATGAAATTAAAAATATAAAATGGCGACAATTTACTCATCGCATCCTGCATACAAATTTCATTAAAAACGACTGACAAGGTAATGCAGTTAAGTTTTTATTTCATTTTTCTTGTGTTCTTATAATGTTCTTCTTTTCTGGACGTAAGTTATGCAGAAATTGTCCAAATGTTTGCGTGTCCGAGCGCTTTCGGCTATTCTTTCTTTTATTAATGTATTGGCTACATTACCCAAGGTACTTGAATAAATATATTTCATTTTGATTAAGGGGGGGCTGGGGGTAACCCCCCCCCCACACACACACACATTGAATTTTTTTTCCTTTAAATTTGAGCAAAGGAATGACTCCTATCCAAAATATAGTAAAGAGAAAGCGAGAAAATGGCGGTCACATCAGCAAAATCATTGAGTAATATTGAAATGTACCATTTTTCTCCACAAATTATAACAATGATTTAAAATCAATCATCATTTTCTTACAAAGAATGTGTGACACGCAGCAAGGTGCAAGTAATTCGACTATATATATATATATATATATATATATATATATATATATATATATATATATATATATATATATTGTGTGTATTTAGGCAGCATATTTTCATTTATACACGTTTCATTAAATAACGGTTCCAAAATAATTCTGTCCTTAAATTCACATATGAACTCAATACGAATAATAAAATCCCCTTCCTTGACATATTGATAAACACAAATAATAACAAATTTACTATTTCGCCATACAAAAAACCTACAAGCATAAATTCATGTACACTTAACTACAAGAGCGAATGCCCATATTACTACAAAATAGCAATTATAAAGAATCTAATACATTGTGCAGAAACTAATTCATCCACAAAACAGATTTTTTACAGTGAACTAAAGAATATAAAACAGACACTTATTAATAATAGCTTTCCAAACTATATAGTTGATGAACAAATAAGATGCTTTCTTAGAAATCTCAATAATAAGCAAATTGTACATAATACTGCTTCTACTGATCTCAAATATATTAATCTCCTATATCGTAATCAAATGCATACTAATTATAAATAAGATGAAAAAACATACTAAAAAATTTAGTAAATTCTAATATATCAACTACAGATCCTAGCAAAAAATTAAATTAATCATATACTACACTAAATCTAGTATATCCAACTTAATACTTCGCAATGATTCTTCTCCCCCGGTTAGCGATTTGCAAAAAACCAACAATAATAGTTTATAAATTCAAGTGCCCTTTGGGAGAGTGTATCTCCAACGAATTAAATAATATTTATGTTGGTCACACCACAGACTCGCTTTCACGACGATTGACACTACATTTTAATGAAAATTCTAACATTTTTAGGCATTTAAATAACATGCCTGCTCGCACACACAATTCCGTAAAATACTTGTCGAAAACACAACTATACTTCGACATGAAAACAATAGACAAAAACTAAAAATACTTGAAGCATTATACATCAAACAGTTAAAACCCAACCTAAACAAAATCAATTATGGCATCTCTACAAATATTCTTAAATGTCTATAATTGGTAACAGAAGCCATTGGTTTATACCAAGGGCTTTCCTTACTTCATTCTACAATTCACTCTCGTGTAGTCATGTGTGACGTCATGAGATGCGGTGCGATTTTCGCTTCTAGTGTGTATATAACACTATATTCGCGTGTTTATCGTTGCTTAGTGATCAACTATGTAAACAATGACAGACTATCATCACTGTCGTGTCCGTATATTGTTTAATATGTTTGTGATTTACATCTTTGATAATGGCTTAAGTAAGCCGAAAGCTTAGATTATATTAAAAAAATATGGATCAATATTGTGAATTTCTTTCTTCGTTTAATGATAATGTTATCAAACTTATCAGATGTTACGAACAAATTTTACATAAAATAAATAGACAACACTTGTCTATATTATTTAATGAAACGTGTATAAATATATATATATATATATATATATATATATATATATATGATACACCTAGTGAGCCAGACAAACCTACCTAGGTTTCACCTAAACGGATCGTCAGGGAAAGTGATTAGCAAATCAAAAATTCGAGGGTTTTTCGAAACGAGTCTAGTTATATATATATATATATATATATATATATATATATATATATATATATATATATATATACGGCTGCGGCTCAAACACTAATATTCCATGGTTATGATTTATTACATTGGAATCGTAATCACGATCCAATTCATCAGGTAATAAGTACTAAGTGTAGTATCTGTTGTCCCCTCTGCCATATTTTTGTCTTCGATCTGTTCACAGAAATCAATGAGGGTAGCCTAGTCTAGAGAATTCTAACCCTGTGGTAGCACCTCCCTCATTTTATTAATGGAGGAAGGTTGAAGGATGCATGACAGTGGTTGCGGGAAATGGATAATGTTATTTCCTTGGTTTACATATACACCCGCGTATGGATACCCCACATTAAACTGATCCTGTGTCATATCTTAACATCCTGGGTGCTGGGAAAATAAATACCACGATCACTGTCGACTGAGTTGCCTTACGGGAGAGTGTCTGTTCACATTTCCCATCTGATTATTTGCCAAATTACAGTAAGATGGCATAACCGATCTTTAAGATATTCAAAATAGCTGGATTTCGTATAACAGACTTGACGATTTCTATCTGAATTTCTGGGGTGAGGAATCATCATTACTGAAATTATCTACATGCGGACTATTGACTAATATTTGTTGTCATTATCACAATGGTGTGGACAGTCAATCGTGACAAGTAGCAACACTAGTCTTATCTGAAGGCAATTTAAGTTAAGGCTCCAAGTTCTCCACTCAGGATTGTCCCAAGGAACAATAGCCTAGTGCAATGATTCTTAACCTCCTTGTGGGCCTATTATGCGGGCCTTGAAATATTAACCAAACATTGAAGAAATCGCGAAAAAGCACCAGACACAGTTTTCCCCACTAAATAAGCTGCACGAATGGTTGAATAGAAACATTGAAATAAAGTAAGTTCATATTTGTGGGTGCATTTTTTTTTTAAATCGATGTTTTTAAATGTATACACTTTAAAAAATTTGCTAAGTGTGCCGTCATAATTTCATTTGCTCTTAGGTGTGCTGTTACTTAAAAAGGTTGAGAAACGCTGGTCTATTCGATTAAAGCGTTGGTTCGTGAATTTGGTGACAAAGATTGTGAGTTCAATCCTTGAGCCAGGAGATTTGAATTCAGTGGAAACAGGACAAGCAATAACTAAGCACTACTAAATCAAAATTCAATCAGATGACCAGCGGAATGAGAAAAATCTACAACCATAGATTAAATAAAGAGTCTAGTTCAAATTGTCAAGGTCCCAGTGAAATCCGCATCTAAATGTAAAAATAAAGATTAGAGACCAATATCAATCACTTTTTTTGTGGATTTTACACATTTGTGAAATTTACAGACAGAATGTTTACTAAGATTCCGGCTTAAAGTCTATCAATATGATGATTCTGCACAGGCAGACCTGTTTTTTTTTTGTTTGTTTTTGTTTTTTTCTTTTTCTTTTTCATGAATTTTTTCTTATCCCACTTTAACCACAGTGCAGTGAAAGTTTGTTGATAATCTTTTTGAGAAATGATTGGTGGCAAAATTACCTAAAAAAAAACGAAGTCAGTTATGTGCCATACGTGATACACGCTTAGGCGATCATGTATCTTTCGATACATAACTGACGAGATTTTTCCCGCAGTAGGTTGCCATTTCTTTCTGCAGTAGACCAGTTGCCTTCCATGGCTATAGAACCCGGTCTGTCCTGCTATTTACCTATAGCTGGCGGGTTGGGGGAGAAGATTCATACCTTTCCCAAGGGTATTAGCACGTAAGTGTATGTAAAAAATGAAACGCATCTAAAAAATCAGTAGTCCTCGTTCTTTTGTTCCAACCAACTGGGTTTTTAAATGCAGTTAAATGTGCTCGAACCCCAGTGAACTGTCCCCATACATCTCATTCGAGAACGGGTAGGGTTAATAATCCCTAACGCCTGAGGCATCAAAATGTTAAGAAAGCTTAATCATTTTTCGCTTCTTGTCTCATATTAAATTCGATCTCCCATTTCAAATTCTGTCTTGTGCCACATTCCGTTTAGGCGTAAGAATAACTACTTCTGTTCTCTTTTCCTAATTGCAAATGGAACATTACCAAATGAGCCATAGTACCTACCCATATGTACAGTGGGTAGAAGAACCAAGCCGCACATTTAGTCAGACCTGTTACGTGCTGTCTGATATACGTTTTTTCTTTCTTTTTTTTTTATCTGTGAGGTAAAAAGAGCATTACATTAACAATTAACAAGGGTATCCAATAATAAGTGTTGGCTTACACAGCACACAGAAAGACGAATACAAAACAACACAGGGAGAAAATCTGACAAGGTCATGAGTTTTTATTGTCACCACCATTATTATTATTAAACTAGATTTTTGGAATATGAAAGTTGTTAGATTTCGTAGAATTCGATTTACAGCCGAGTATAAAATACAACCTGTCATCTTAGTGGGGAAGAAATGAAGAAAAATTTGCACCTGTGAAAATAAAATAAACGCGATCTCTTTCATCGTAAAAAGTTTACTTTTACACACTATGCCTGTAACGAAGGTAAGTGATATTATTATTATTATTATTATTATTATTTAAATTATTATTATTATTGTTTACAAAGATGTACCAGCCAGTAAAGAAGTTCAGTACTTGCTACTAATTTTGGATAACATCCAGTACCAACAGCAAACTTCTCCAAAGTAAAATCTTTTTTTTCTCCAATTTTTAAGTTTTATCCTTTCATCGTTTTTTTTAAACTTCCTTTGCACTACATACAATGATTTTTTTTATTTCTTTATTTTTAACGGATTTTATTTACTTATTTTTGTGTTTATGCATATTTTGAATAAGTTTACTACTTTAAAGTTTAATTCATAACTTATTTTTTCAACACTGAAAAACATTTTTTAAAGTCTCGTATTTAATTTAAAATATGTATTGTATTATTATTGTAGTTGTAGTAGGTACGACTTGCGAAGATGGTCATCAATTGAAAATGGAAAATGAAAAAGTTTTTCTGTTTTTATTTTTTTTTTTTTTTTCGTGAATTGTAAGTTATTATTAACTTGAAAAAGTTACTAAACATTCTTCTTATTAATTATTTTATTTTTTCTTCAGTATATCAATTTTATCATCTTCTTATAAAATTTGTTTTTGTTTTTTGTATGAATGAGGTTTATTTTTTTGCCCCATTATCTTTCTCCTGTGTGAGTGAGATGAGAATTTTTAGTTAGAAGCGATGCTTTTTTTAAACATTTTCTATTATCATCATCGTCATCAAGATCCACTGTGTTCAACACAAACAAAGTTTTATATTTCATATCTGGTTTTGTTACTAACGTACCAGCTAAGCATTTTTGGACCATCACTGTTAGTGTTATTGGTGGAGGTAAGCAACTAAAAGATCAATAAGTCCGTGCTCCACACTCACTACAACACAAAATCCGTTATTTGCTGAACTATTCAGAATTTTTGAAAATTCAACTTAAGAACAATTCATGTTAGTTCAAGCTAAGGAGGAGCATTTAAGCGAAAAAAGTTTGTTAAAGATTAAAAAAATAAATATTTCTTGCGTAAAAATAAAACAAGTTGTTTGTTGTTGTTTTTTTTTCATTAAGAAACAACGAACTTTGTAGCGCCGGACGTAACGTTTTTTGCTTGAGGTTTTGAAACGAAAGGCGTGGTTAGAATATGAATTTTGGGAAAATAGCCGAGGATAATCTCTAATCACCGTTTGAAGCAAGGTTAAGATAGTTTGGCACAAGGCCACAGATGTGGAACACAGAGCGTCAAACTTATGAAGATTGGTTAAGAAGCTGCTGTTACCCGTTCCCTTTTTTTTTTTTTTATCTCAACTCAAAAAATGTTACTCGGGTGGGGTAGGATTTTTAAAAATCATAGGAAACAAAATGTCATGACAAAGGTCGCTTTGGGTTGGATTGGGAAAAAAGCTTGATCGCAGGAAATACTTTCTTCATTTAATAAAATAAATGAAAATATTATTAAAATTAATTACCTAATTAAATATTAATTAAATAGTACGGTTACCTTCGAAAATATTTTTCTCTAACTTTTTTACCGAGCCACAGGAAGCCGCGTTTTAAATTCATTGATTTTTTTGTAAAATTGCCGAAATTAAATTTTTAAGGTTTTTTTTTTCTATTTTGTATGCTATAAGTATTGCTTTTCATGGAACCTTAAAAAAAAAAAAAAAAAAAAAACTTACCTTCGGTCACGTCACGTTGAAACTTCGGTTTCCGTACGAATCACCGAAGTTAAACAACGTCGAACCTGGTCAGTATCTGGATGGGTGACCAGGTGTATGTTTAGATGTGCGGGTAGTGTAGTGGATAATGGCTCGAAATTGTTAATCAGAGAGCAGATTTCCAATTTTTGTTGGGTCCGTTAGATTCAATAATTTCACTTACGCGCAAATGCCCTTGGGAAAAGTACGGATCTACCTCTTCTCTTCGTAGGTATGCTATTGTTAAAAATTAGACTTATTTTATTAAGATTTATTATCACTCAACAATTATTATCTCAAAAACAATTCTTACCATCTAAAAATATTTTCGGCTTTAAATAACCTGCAAAGGGTCGGTAAACCGTAGAAAACGAATCAATCGATTTAAAAAACAAAAAAACAAAAAAACCAGTAAATTTGCAGATAATGCCCCAGTGACCAATTTTTAAAAAAATGCATTAATCCTGGTGTAAGAAAGCCTGATTACAAAAATAGTAATAAAAATTTAGGACACGCTACTGTTTACGAAATATTGCCAATCTTAGTTGGGTCCCGGGTACAGCCTGGCCTCCATTACTGCGCGAAAGTCTACCCATTTACTGGAACGCACAGATAATGCCCTAGTGACAAATTTTAAAAAATCATTATTCCTGTTGTTAAAAAAAAAAAAAAGAAAAAAAAGAAAGCCTGATTATTACAAAAATAGCAATAAAAATTGAGGAAAGACTATCTTTTTTAGGAGATATTGCCAATCTTAGTTGGGTCCGCGAAAGACCCATTTGCTGAAACGCACAGATAATGCCCTAGTGCTCGTAACAAGCTCGATTTCTGTTCCTGAAGTCAATCCCTCGCCATACAAATCAATTTCAATAAGAATATAAAATATTTTTTTACTTTATTTAATAAAATGTTTTGACAATACTTCTTTAATTTTATTTAATAAAGTGTTTAACAATTAAAAAAAAAGAATTTCTGAAAGTTATATAAATCGATCAAGTGAAGGATAAAAAATTTTAACAAATCTCATCTTAAAGTTTTTCGTCTCACTTTCCCAAAAACACCCTAAAATCCAGCTTTCTTTACTAAATCTAGTTTTATCAAAAGATACATGATCGCCCAAGCGTGTATCACGAATGGCACTTGACTGACCTCTTGTAAGCTTTTTTTTTTTTTTTTTTTTTTTTCTTTTTTTTTTTAAATACAACTTTCTTTTTCTAAATACAACTTCCTTTTTGCTGTTCCTTTGTACTTATTTTCTGGAATGAGATTATAGACGACTTTTTTCCGCATATGAGACTTGAAATAAAAGTTCGAGAATGTTTTGAAAAAAAAATGAAGTTTTATTATTTCTTTTAATAATGAATGGTAATGATTTTTTTAAACAAATGACTGGGCTTGCCTCAATACAATTCTCAAAAGAAAATTGATTCTAAATTATTGTTTCTTGTGGGAGGTGGGGATTCAGCAAACAAAGTGAGGGCGCTAAGGCACACCTGGCCCTCACTGGTATAGGGCCATGGATACGCATTTTCTAATTGTTAAAGACGACACTGATTCTAATTGTGACAATAACTAATAATTATGAACACAATTTTTAGCATCTGAAATTTTATACGAAACAAAAAAAACTGTCGTTAATAATGAAACTTATGTCTCTTCAACGTTACTTGCTCAGATAGCGCCACCTTGACAAACAAGACATTATTTCTAAAAAAAAAAAAAAAATGTTTACCTTTCTTCTAATAAAAAACTTACGAAAGCACGTGTGGATCCTGGTGTTGTCGACTGGAAGTTAGTCTCTTTATTTACAGTTGGATTAATAAAAATATCACTTCTCAGCCTTTTGGTTCGGGGAGGTTCCAATGATAACCCCAAAACCCCAGAGGCATTCCCTCCAGGTAATAGTACTCTTTCAGGGGAGAGGCTGGGTTTATTGCCCTGCACCTGATGCGTCCCCAAATGAGGAAGTGCCAAAGGGACTTGGGCAGTGAACCCACTTTTACCTTGTGTTACATTCGGTAGCGACGTTGGCACACTGAAAAAACACCCCCGGCCTTTTGGCTGGGATCGAAATGTAGTATCTGCCTTCAGACGAATAAATTCTTCATCTCTCAGTTGTGTCTCTGTCTTCGGATAGAGTGCTATTGAAAATATTGAGAGGTGCCTGGTCTCTGGAAAACAGCTGCCGGTGGTAGTACCTCCCTTGTACTAAAGAGCGGGGATCGTTGGTAATAAACGATTCCAATGAAACCGACAGTTGAAGGGGAGCTTGACTATTTCTGGACCTGGCCTGGGTGTACGTGCCTGGGCTCCCCACTTTTAAATTGACCTTGTGTCACAAACATCTTTCCAGTGTGGGGCGGCAAGTAAATACAATCTTTGTTGTTAAGATCAAAACGTTCCATCTGTTTAGAGCAGTGGTTCTCAACCTTTTTTTACCCATGGACCCCTTTCCCCTTCTTTTTATCTTGGTGGACCCCTTCATAGCTATTGGACATAAGAACAATTTTCTATTCTTCACTAATATAAATTTTAAGGTTTTAATTATCAAAGAAATAGTATACGATTAAGCTTTATTTTTAAATGAAAACTAATTTAATACAAAAAATATTCTACTATAATTATAATAATTATTATTACTATTTTTAATTAACACAACAATTGTGTTTTGCCTGTGGACCCCCGGAAATATTACATGGACCCCTAGGGTCCATGTAGACCCCGGTTGAGAACCACTGGTTTAGAGAGGCTCTCTGGCATTCTTCGAATATCTGTCAATCTGGATAATACCCAAAGAATTTCTCAAGTAAATCTTTTTACGGTGTTATTGTTCTCCTCATCCCACTGACCATATCGATCGAGAGAATGTTTAAATTAATCAGTTATTGCTGGTCTTGTTTCCACTGACTATATCCGTGTTACCCGATTGAACTCGCTTGTTGCGTACCATTAATGAGTTCCATCCTCACTGGTTACTCCATTTTTTTTTTGCCCTCTGCCAAACTAATCTATATTTTTTGACTGCCAACCACAAGATAAATCGGGGCTGGCAAGTATTATTACGACGTCGACTGGGTGATTTTTTTTTCCGATATGAAAGCAAAAAATCGCTACTCCCTGTTTTAAATATTTGCCCAAAATTAAAACGGGATTTTCAGTACTTATTCATTTAACAAGTGAATTGTACTGAAGATTTTTTTTATTAGAAAACTTTGTGGCAATTTTTTGGTGGGGATGGGGTCTGTTTTACCATCTTCTTTTTTGATGTTTTCTTTTTAATTTACGTAGGTGTTGTTCGTCATTTTTATTTTAC